TGTATAAAAAACAACAACACCAGAAGGTATTTGTGTCTGTTTATATGGCTTCCTTTTTTTGTAGCCTTTGTACCTGTACAGAGTGACTGTAAGGGCCAAAAAGTGGCTTGATTCATGTATAAAACTAGACCCAGTGACACTATTTATGTTACCTTTTTAGCCAGTCACTTAAATAAAGCAAAGACAAGCTGTACATTTTAACATAAAATAAATTATGATGAGCCATTTTTAGCCTCTTGTGCTCTTGTCTGCCGTGCATAGAGACCGATGAGCCACATTGTCAATTCTTCTTGGTTGCAGGGTGCGGCTCACAAGACAGGGGAATCCTGCAAGCATCCTTGTTTTCGGAAGTCTTCTGTTGCTTTGTTGGTATATCTCTCGATGCCTAATGTTGCCCACTGCAAGGAAAGTGAAGAGTTTTAAAATCTGAATTGACCAAAATATTTTATTAAATATCATAGACTGCAGTAGAAAGCTTGAGTGCTTGTCAACAGTTGTGCTGGCCATGTGTTTAGTGGAGGGGAAGGAGAAGTGGAAGATTCAGTCTTCCCCTCTTCTACCCCCCCCCCAAAAAAGCGTACATTTCGTTCAATTGTATATTCCACTCCTGGATCAGTTGGGAAATGTGCATGCATTTTTGCATTTATGCATTCCCTCATTCGGCTAGAAATACTCATCTGCTTTTGCAGGCATATTGCCTTACAAGGGAAAGAGTGATTAAAAAAATAATGCACCTTTCTTAAGTGTATCTGACATGTCCGGTAAGGAGTCTGGAACACGGTACCCTATGGGGCCCAAGTCTGATCTGCAGATCCATGGGGAACTAGCCTCGCATGTCAAGATCCCAGTGCATCCATCATCATAGTTTGCTCCGTAACAGCTATGAACTTTTCCCAGATGGTTTACAGGGATGGTTACTTGAGTCCACCGGATTGACTGCAATCCCAACAGGTTAAGGTTATGTGTGCCCTTCTAATGGTGAAGTGTATTGTTCCTCTGTGGACCTGACAGTATCTCTGCTGATAATGGAGTCCAGGCCTGCCCTCCTCCTCTGCTTCTGAACCCTGGTGTTGGTACCTCCACACCACTTTCAACCATGCCCTATTCACTTCGTTTGTAGCCAATGCTTTGGCAGAAATGCAAGCTAGCTGTGCTGGTCCCGGGGAGTAACCATGCGGCGTGGTCCGAGTCCAGTCCGAGGTCGAGGGTGTGGTATGGAGGCTGTCTGTCAAGGCTGAAGCGGGGTCCAAGGCAAGGATTCGGGTGAGGTCAGGAACTCTGGCAGAAGAGCAGGACAGGGTGCCGGCAGGAACAGGTTACCAACAATGTTGCTCCTGAAACCTGGGACTGGGCTGGCTGGCTTTTATCTGCCCTGAGGCATAGGGCAGCCCCGGTCCACAGGTGACACGCCTCTCCTGGCCTGGAGGCAAGCACTCCTCCTTCGAGAACTCTGCAGCTCAGGAGAGGCTGGAGGGTTACTGGACCCAGAGGCAACCTCACCTTCCCCTGATGGGTCTGAGAGTGGAGCACCTGCAGGCAATGGGTCCTTGATCACCTCCGGAGCCAGAGCTGATTCAGCTGGTGCCTGCACCTGAGGATCCAGCACAGGTGAGGACCCTTCAGGTTCAAGCCCCGGCCCCGGCTCAGCCGGTCCTGGAGGCGGGGACTCCTGTGCAGGCTGGGATTCCTCAGGTTCAGCCTCTGAATCCAATTCCCAGGCCATCACACTAGCCTTGAGCGGTGTTGTGTCTCCTGATTGTTAAAAATTGAATGGATGCTTACAAAGATTTTAAACGTGACTCGAAAAGCCCAGCAGAACTGGCAGCCATGTCAAGTAAGTGAAATGCTTTTGTGTTCCTTTCCTCTGTGGCTCAGCAGTTTCGTGGGACCTCTGCCTAGTTGTGGTAACTGCAGGATACACAAAGCAAGTAGGCCACAGCTGGTTTATGCAGCTTCCAGAGAATTGTCTCAAGATAGCAGCGCCTAGGAATTGAGAATTAGGTGCAGCCAGAAGACTAATTAGGAATTTGAGAATAAAAGAATGGGAAAATCAATGGGAGTGTACAAATAAAAATCACCAGAGAAGGAAGTTCTGGGCTGGACTGATGGTGGCAACAGGAAGAAGTTGTAGGTCCATAGCTCATGGCAATACACATTTTGATAGGCAGCTCTTAAGTTAGGGAACTTTAACCACTGCTGATTTTTTTCAAATTCCATTTGAGTGCTGTGGCTGGGGGAAGGGGAGTAGTTAGGTTGGCACTCATGTTGGGTTTAACATTTTTGCTGTTGGGGAAATGTAATTATTTGGAAATGCTACTTCAAATTCTTGCAGAGATGTATTTGTAATAAAATATCAGACAGATTTCTTTTTTATAGCACTTGCTCTGACACTTTGCAACTTTGTTTTGACTTTAAAAAGAAGAGAAAAGCTCACAGGCAGTGGAATGGGTTGTTGATATGCTTAAATGCTTATTGCAAAATGTAATAAAGCTGATTTTGGTGGGTGTCGCTTGTTGTAAAGTTAGGGATTCCCCCTTCTCCCCCTCTTGTGTTGAAGCCGTACACAAACACTCTTTGCTTTCAGAATGGCCCTACATAGAGTGTGTTTTGCATGCCTGCAGTCTCCGAATGCAAATATAAAATGGAGTCTTTCCCTTTTGAAGCAGCTGTGACTGATGGGACTGCTAGATGTGGGGAAAATATACACTATTGCTCAGCAGTACACATCAAGCAAATTTATGCAGCAGCAGGAAAAAATGCATATCCATTTTGAGTGTTGGATCCTGATATTCTGTGTTGAAGTGCTACAAGTCCCAGACAAAGCGTCAATGTGGTCTGTCATTGTCTTGCACAGCAAGCAGAGCCCAAGAAACATATTCCTAATAAATCAAAATTAGCCTGTTTTTTTAAAAAACAAACACTGCAATTTTGGATTCTCTTGTGCGTCTACAACAGATGTGTGTTATTTGAAGCTCTGGGTACACTTTGGTGGCAAACTCTTGCATGAGTTCTATAAATGAATGGGAGCTGAGCAGGAACATAGTTTACTGTGTTGAATAGAAATCATTTTTTGCAGAGAACCCAAAGACCTGTAAATGACATAAACAGCTGTTAAAGAGAGCCTTAATTGCTTGGGGTGCAGGGAGAGTTGTACACACATTGGAAGAAACAGAGACTAGGTTCACATATACCATACTTGGTTTTTTTTAAGTGTGGCTCCTAGAGGACCTCTCCGTGACCAGCTCAGCTGCCTTCCCCATCCTTCAGGATTATGAAATTCACTCTTATGACCTAACAATACTTCAAACACCAGCAGCAATTACTGATCTCTCTCTCTCTCTCTCTCTCTCTCTCTCTCTCTCTCATAGTACCAGTCGAAAGTGATGCATGGTATCAGTAGCAATGTTCCTACCCTTTCAGCATTGCCATGGTGCATATAAATCATATTTTTAAGGAAGTTACACTAAATTAGAATGGTAGGAGGATCAATTACTAAGTGAAGGTCACAGCAGACAGAAGGCAATACCTTTTGTATGGAGAGAGGGCCTTGGTGTAACGTGGGGAACTCTTCATGTGGAATAAAAGTGAAGGAGACTTGAGTTTTACCGTAGATCTTGCAAACCCTTCAGAGGATGTTAAGCTTGGTTTTATAAGAAGCTGTTTTCTGGGAGAAGTTCTGGATTTAATTCGAAGCTACCAGCCTTGCAGATGCTGGACAGCTGGTTAGAGAAGACCTCTGGAGTAGTGGTTGCTCAGATGGCTTTGTTTAAATCTGAGGTGGTCAACATGGTATTCTCTGGATATTGTTTGACTACAACTCCCATCATCCCTGACCAGTGGTCATGTTGGCTGGGGCTGATTGATTAACATCCACCATCATCTGGAGGACACTACATTGGTGCCCCAATCCAGATACGTTGTAGCTTCGTTGAAGGCTGAAGCCAAGAGAAGTGGTTGGAATTGTAAACTGTGCTTGGGCATATATTGTGTTCCATTGTGGAATATGTGTTTCAGGACTGGAAGATAAAAGGTTTTGTTAGTGTTACCAACAGCCACGTGCAGGGTTGAAGTCACTCCAACAGTTGTGGATGTGAGTCCAACACACATATTTAGGCTGCCTTGGTTTCTACAACCATGCAGCTATCAAAACTGGTACTGGGAAGGAAACACAATGGATGTACAACTTTTGCAATGGGCTCTAAACTTGTCCTCCAAAGAGGGCATTGTGGAGACAACATTATTGTGCTCCTAGTACTTGAAATGAGAGTTTGCACCCTCCTGTATCCCTGTTGGGGTGGAGGACCAGTTAGGGTAAAGATGTGTGTGGACAGTTGCTCTCAAATTTGTGCTGGGCTTTATCCAGTGACTTCGGTCCCTCTGCTAATGACCTTATTGGCCCCTGCGACGTAGCTTTACCCTGACCAGGATAGGCATAGTCTCTGAACATTTCATTCCCATTGTCTTTCCATACAGATTATGGCAGGCAACACAGCCTATGTTCCTGGTTTGATGATAAGATATATGCTACGCTGCTCATGATAATGCAGAGAGAAAGCGATTTGCCAATAGGCTTTTAAGAGTCGCTGCCTTTTCCCACAATGGAAAAGGTGGTCGCTGACCATTTGCACGTGTTCATTGGAGTCTATGCAAAAAAGAAAATAGACTCTTATACTGTTTTTGAGGGTGAGATTTGAAAGAAGTCCATCCAGGAGACAGATGACCTAGCAAGGTCCATCTACCAACCCTATCAATATTGTGTGTGTGTGTGTGTGTGTGTGTGTGTGTGTGTGTGCTGAAATATAGAGATGCCCTTTTCTGACCATACGCTAGAGCAATTGCAGGCCTCCTGTCCCACAAAGTTAAAACAAGTGACAAACAGTTTCCAGCAGTGACTCTTCGTAAATCCCGTTTGGTCCTTTCTTCTTATGCACTGTTGATTGACTCTTTGGGTGACTGGGTTATCCCCTCCTCTGTAAAAGAAAGCTCTGAAAAACAGCATAAAGGAAGCCTTCTCTGTGTATTTCAAGTTCCTATTCAAGTTTCTTTGAAGACCTCCTACCATGTTAGTGCATTTTCAAGCTGAAAATACGCTTAAGGCATTTGAAGTGCTACTGACTCTCTTCCCCGCCCCTACTCCCCCAGCTTTACTTGGTAACAAATGACTCCCTTTGCCTAATTGTTTTCAAGTTTCCCATTTCTTTTTAAAACCAATTCTTTTCTAGAAAATAGGGAATGTTAGATCTCCGTCTCTGTGCTGGTCTCTTGGTTACACTCCATCCCGTTTGTGGCTTTGCTCCTCTCCAGGGCCAGCTTTATGTCCAGTTCTCTGAGCTGTTTCAGGAAGCCACGGTTTGGGAGAATGCACCGGTGCTTGAGCACTTGATCAATGGCATCAACCACAGTCATGTTCTTGTAAATCATCAGATATGCCAAGACCAAGGCAGCTGAGCGGCTCCGACCCATGGCACAGTGGACCAAAATCTTGCCTGTGGAAGTGAAGAAAAAGAAACCATTCAGATTCTTTGCCACTGGCACTTCTCCATTTGTCATTGGTGTTGGGCAAATCCAGGGGAGCGGGTGGCGCTGTGGTCTAAACCACTGAGCCTCATGGGCTTGCTGATCGGAAGGTCGGCGGTTCGAATCCGCGCAACAGAGTGAGCTCCACTTGCTCTGTCTAAGCTCCTGCCAACCTACAGTTTGAAAGCACACCAGTGCAAGTAGATAAATAGGTACTGCTGTGGCAGGAAGGTAAACGGCATTTCCGTGCGCTCTGGTGTTCTGTTGTGCCAGAAGCGGTTTAGTCATGCTGGCCACAGGACCTGGAAAGCTGTCTTGTGGACAAACGCCGGCACCCTCGGCCTGAAAGCAAGATGAGCACTGCAACCCCATAGTCACCTTTGACTGGGCTGAACCGTCCAGGGGTCCTTTACCTTTACTTTTATACTTACACAGGGTCATATGTAAGTGGTGGGTGTGGATACCCCACAGTCTTGTGTGCAGGCACAACACACATGCACAAGGGCCCCCAGGTGATCCATGCAAATCGGCAGAGGATAAAGTTATCACCCCCTTCCCCACTTATCAAATGGTGACTGAGGAGGGCACTTTGCGTCCTCATCAGGCTTTTTGGGTCACCCAATTCAGCGACACACCTAATTCCCCCCCCTTTTTTTTTACTGCCACTTCCAAAAATTGGATTCTTGGAGGAGGGGGAGAGAAAAAAGCCAGATCAGGCCTTTGCTTGGTCTGGGACATGGGGGTTAACAGCCCCTGGTTTAACAAGAAGAGGGGGTTTGGGAAATTGGAGGTGGGTGGAAGGGAAGAACGATTTGGATTGGGTCAGAAATAGAGTTATTTCTTGTATTTAGATTGGTTTATGATTTATGACATGAATTATTCTGGTATGGCACTGTTCTCCTTTTTTTTTGCAGTTTGACTAGAGAGGATCTGGTCTCCAGACCTCACCCCCAGTCTTAACCCTTTAAGCACTCTGCCAGGCTCATAAGCACTGCAACTAAAGGAGGATTCCCCCCCCCCAGATCGTGAATGTGTGGTAGGGATGATTGATTTTGAAAAGCCCATGCAGAGTCAAGGACTGTCCTAGATGAGCAGCTCAGGTACATGGATTTCAAAGTAAAGGAGTAAAGGTAAAGGGACCCCTGGTCATTAGGTCCAGTCATGACTGACTCTGGGGTTGCGGTGCTCATCTCGCTTTACTGGCTGAGGGAACCAGCGTACAGCTTCTGGGTCATGTGGCCAGCATGACTAAGCCACTTCTGGCGAACCAGAGCAGCACACAGAAATGCCGTTTACCTTCCCACCGGAGCGGTACTTATTTATCTACTTGCACTTTGACCTGCTTTTGAACTGCTAGGAGGGCAGGAGCAGGGACCGAGCAACGCGAGCTCACACCATCGTGGGGATTCGAACCGCCGACCTTCTGATCGGCGAGTCCTAGGCTCTGTGGTTTAACCCACAACAGCACCACCCACGTCCCAAGGATTTCAAAGTACTCTTGTCTTATTCTGGTCCTGTGGAGGAGCCCTCTGAGAAATGCAGGTTGGCTGTTGCAGCACCACAGACAGCACCTAGTGAGCAACTGGCACTTGCAAGGTTTCAAAGTGGATCTAGTCTTATGGAGACTCTATCCCAGACTCCATTCATTTTTGGGAGAACTAGAATCTCTTAACGGGGCACACTGTAACATGTGACAAATGCGTGTATCCAGTTTGCGATGTCTACATGTGGTGTGGAGCTCCAATAGGTGAAACAGTTCTGTCCCATGACCACCGTCGCTTCCACCACTGCCCATGAAAGGGAGTGGGCAAAACGTTCTGGCAGGTTTGGAGCGCTTTGCCATGAGCTTATGCTATTTTCAGGTCTTGCATTAAGGCAGCTGACTCAAATGGTTAGCTTTTAAAACAAGAGGTGCTCAAAGCAGGAAATTTGTTGCCTGCTTCAGAAGGAACTCTCAGTGTTGGGGAGCAGGCTGTTTATGCTCTGCCTTCTGCATATACTTGGAGATTCTTTGATTGCTTGTTCTAGTTTATGTGTCCGGTTTTTTCTTTTTAAAAAAGCAGCATAGGCACACATGGGAAGGAGCGGTGCTGAATGGGTGTGATTTAAATGGGGGCAGATGGGGATGCAGCATCTGTAGCAGCTGCAAGAGTTTACCTCCTCCCACCCATACGGACACAGGATCACAGGGTTAGAGAAAACACCCATGCCTGGTCATGGTCTTAGGTTCGGCAGGCTCACACACCATGCCAGTTAGGCTGTTACAGATAACGCCCGGGCGGAAGCCCATTTTCCTTACTCGTTTCATTCCGGAGTGCTCTATCTATGAATTCAGCAGCAGAGTAAAAGAACTGGCTAAGATTGAAGGTGGGCAGATCATCTGCCTCCACCCCGTGGTACTCGATGTCCATGTCCCTGTAGTATTCTGGTCCCGTATCGACGTTCCACCGGCCATGGGCTGCGTTGAGGATGTGGGTGAAGCCGGCTTTCTCAAGGCTGTAGCGATCCAGGGCTGTTTTCCTGGGTCAAAGCAATCAGAGGCTGTTAAGCAAGGGCACTGCGGTTATGGCATAGTTCAGTTGGCATGGCATGAGAATCTCAAAGTGTAATAATAATAATAATAATAATAACAACAATAATAATAATATATTAATAATAATATAATTTATTTATACCCTGTTCATCTGGCTGGGTTTCCCCAGCCACTCTGGGCAGCTCCCAACAGAATATTAAAAACTCAATAAAGCATCAAACATTAAAAACTTCTCTAAGCAGGGTTGCCTTCAGATGTTTACTAAAAGTCAGATAGTGAGTGGGTGCCACTACCGAGAAGGCCCTCTGCCTGGTTCCCTGTAACCTCGCAGTGAGGGAACCGCCAGAAGGCCGTCAGAGCTGGACCTCAGTGTCCGGGCTGAACAGTGGGGGTGGAGACACTCCTTCATGGCTTTGAGACCGACGTTGGGCAAAAGATTCCAGCTTTGCAGGGAGTTGCACTAGATGACCCTTGTGGTGCCTTCCAACTCTTTTGTTATTGTTTAGTCGTTTAGTCGTGTCCGACTCTCCGTGACCCCATGGACCAGAGCACGCCAGGCACTCCTGTCTTCCACTGCCTCCTGCAGTTTGGTCAAACTCATGCCGGTAGCTTTGTGAACTCTACAGCTCTTTGATTCTATGATTCTGTGCTGCTCCTTTCTAAGGCTGAGCCGAAGGGCGGCTGTTGCTGGAACAACACCAGAGCTCTCTTGATTCTATGATTCATCACTTTCGTCTCTTCCCCACTTCAATGGTACGCTGAACGCAAGCATGATCTATTTCTACAACTGTGTGAAAAGAGTGCCCACTCGATGCTTTTCACAGCTCAGCTATGGCGTAGGCAGGTACTGGGATGGCACACACATTGAATGTAACGTGTACATCCTTTTTGTATTGGATGGGATGGCTTACGCTTTTCAGTACGCAAAGTGCCCCAGCCCCAGCTGACAAAGCATCACAGTGAGTTAGGCAGGTGGGCAAAGATTTATTTAACTGAAACAGATTAATAAGGGCACAGGAACGGGATTGCCTGCTAGGACCCAGATCCTGCATGAACTTAAAATTAAGGAAAATTGGGACATTCTGGGATCAAATCAGAAACTGGGGTGGCTTCTGTAAATCCAGGACTGTCCCTGGAAAAGAGGGACACTTGGAGGGTCTGCAATAGCAGACTTTCTTTTTGCACACTCTTGCTGTTTAAAGGCATCAAAGGGATATAAGTCCCTTTTGTATCAACTGTAGCTGCAAAAGTACTTTCCTATGAAAACAACTAGATTAGGTAACAGCCACAATAGCCTCCTGGTAATCCCATTTTTGGACTTCCTTGTGTTAGGGGTTCCTAATAGAACTATCTCCACCCCACCCCACCCCCCAAAAAGAAGTTTGATACATATATTGTGTCTGAATTGATGCTTTCTGGCTCTGGCCTTTAATTAAGGTGCCACGTAGTGAAATCCATGTGTTCTTTTAAAAATACATTTTTTAAAAAAAGTTTTGCATGATAGGACACCCACTTTTAAATATAAAGCAGTTTTTAAACATTTCTGTACAAGTTCAATATGAGTATTGGTTCCGAAAAGAAGGAGCCTGCACCACCTATTTTTAAATATCTGCTTTTTCACAAAAGTGTCCAATTCCTGGCATTACATTCTTGCAGCTCCCCAGTAAAGACTTTGGAAAGGGTAGCATCCAATGAAACCCGAAGCTTTGTTTATTACATGTCTGAAAGCGCTTGTAAAAGTTTCATTCCTTCTGGGCAGTGTCTACAACAGCATTCTATTACAAAAGGAATGAAGGGCAAATTAGATGTTGCACCAAAATGCATGCAAGTTTTGGGTGGGTTTCTTCTCTTTTTAATGTAAAGCAGCTTTGGGGAGGCTTTGGTTTGGAGCAGAGAGACAGCATTGCGGGTGTGGGGAGAGAAGACTCCGGGGTGTCTTTCCCACCGATGCTCTCTCACTCAAAATCATCTCTCGCCCAAGCTGCTTTTTCTCCATACACAGCTCTTCAGGGGATCAGTATGTGTACAAATTTCAAGCAAATGCTGGCGTAAAACAGGCAGGGAGTGGTTAGAATTGTGAAGAAGGGACAAATTAGGGCCCTCGTATTTACGGGACTGCCTCTCCTGGTATGCCCCGCAGAGGACCTTAAGGTCCATGAATAACCATAGTTTAGAGGTCCCAGGCCCTAAGGAAGTCGAGACTATCCTCCACCAGGGCCAGGGCCTTTTCAGTGATGGCTCCGACCTGGTGGAATGCTCTGTCCCATGAGACTAGGGCCCTTCAGGATTTAACCTCCTTCTGTCAGGCCTGTAAGACAGAGCTATTCTGCCTGGCTTTTCATTTGAATTCAGCCTGATCTTTTATTTCTCTTCTCTTCCCTCCCCCTCCCCTTTTATGAAGATCACTCGCTCTGAGACCCCACAGCTAATTCTCCCCTGGCCTCCTCGCTGGCCCAAGTAGGACCAATTTCAGCCAGCTAGCCCTGGGGATTATCTAATTGATTTTTGAATTTTATTGTTAGTCATGTTTTTATCCTGTGTTTTATGCTGCTTTTATAATTGTTTTAAAGTGTTTTAAATTTGTTATTAGCCACCCTGAGCCCGGCTTTTGAACCGGGAAGGGTGGGGTATAAATAAAATTATTATTATTATTATTATTATTATTATTATATTATTATTATTATTATTATTATTATTATTATTATTATTATTATTATTATTATTATCTGATGGGTCATTTTAAGGCCACCTACCAAACCTCTAAAGCCCTTTATTTACCTCCTGCCCCAGAAATACCTTTCAATTATGCTACAGAGAATCTACACCTGCGTGTGCACAGCATAGCCCAGAGAGGATGATGTCAGAGCCACATTTCCACTGTGATCCAGTCATTACAGGCATAATGTTCTCCATGACTACTGGAGGCCAATGTGTCTTGGCATAACTTACTCATCTCCTATGTAGAGGTTGGGCCAGACTTCGTTGACGTGGGTGTACTTTGGGCTGCCTTTCCAGAAGAGCCTTTCCAGGTCAAACGCTCCAGGGGTGCAGTAGTCCCCATTGGGGTCTACTTTGACGGCTGCGTAAGCACTGATCTTCCCAGATTTCAGGGCCATTGAAGAGCTTGATGGATGATGGAGGAAACAAAATCCAAAAACCTGCAACACCAAGCAGAAGGTGAGGTTGCTGTTAAGAGACCCAAGTGAACACAGTTCTCCCTAGAGATTATATTGGCATTGTTGTACCTTAGGTAAAGGTAAAGGGACCCCTGACCATTAGGTCCAGTCGTGACCGAATCTGGGGTTGTGGCGTTCATCTCGCTTTATTGGCCGAGGGAGCCGGCGTACAGCTCCTGGGTCATGTGGCCAGCATGACTAAGCCACTTCTGGCAAACCAGAGCAGCACACGGAAACGCCGGAGCGGTATCTATTTATCTACTTGCACTGGTGTGCTTTTGAACTGCTAGGTTGGCAGGAGCAGGGACCGAGCAATGGGAGCTCACCCCGCCGTGGGGATTCGAACCACCGACCTTCTGATCAGCAAGTCCTAGGCTCAGTGGTTTAACCCACAGCGCCACCCACGTCCCACCTGTTGTACCTTACAACAGGCCTATTAGGACTGATTTTTTTTAAAGGGGGGGAATAAGGCTATTTATATGACAATTTTTGACTGATGAAAAGCGCCTCTCTGGGTGGCGCTTTCCCCCCCTCTTTTTTCAGCACGGAGGGGGTAATTTAAACGAGATTATGGATGAGAGGCACCTCAGCTTCACTCTGCCCTCAGGCAGAACATATGTTTCTGCTTTGACTCTGGAGGAGCTTATAATGAAAAATTTAAAATATTGGCCAACTCAACCTCTCGTCTCTGGAATGAAAAAGCCGAAGCAGTGGTATTGCGAGAAAGGTTAGTCAAATATTGAGGACCTAACATCCAAATCCTTTTTGTGTTTTTGATGGTTTGAGGTACCTGGCTCTATTCGAAACCCTTTTTAAAAAAACAACAGCACCACACATACCGTGGAGTAATTGGGGGTTGTGTTTGCCAAACTTCACAAATAATAATAATAATAATAATAAATTTTATTTATATCCCGCCCTCCCCAGCCGAAGCCGGGCTCAGGGTGGCTAACAACAATCAAATAATCAAACAGTCAAATAATCACACATTCTAAAAATATTTCATTATAAAAATTAATTAAAATCAAAGTGCTTAAAAAGAAAGCTGGTCCCAGCCCCATTATTTGCACTCGACCCTGTCTAGGGTGACATTTCAATTGGGGTGGGGGAGAGGAGAAAGAGCTGTCTAGGATTGTACCTGTTCCCCCTTTCTGAAGGTAACCTCCTGAGCCAGAAGTTAGTCAATCTCCATATGTAAAATTGGCTTCCTCCAAGAGAGTCAAACTGGTGGGTGTCTTATGGCTTAGAATGCTCATTGTGAGGCAGTTAAACTGGTCATTTCCATAGCAAACACAATAATGGTGACCTACAGCAAGGCTGCTGATGAGGTAAAGCTGAGACGCCCGCTTACCTTTCTTTATGGACCCAAACAATGTCAGACAAGCTCTCGGCGGCTGGACTTGTAGGGCGAAGCTTCTCCCCTCACAATAATGCGCATCTACAAACATGGAATTTTGGCTGTGTCTGCCAATAGGTAGGACAGAACAAATAGGGTTTCCCTTCAGGCAGGCAGGGGCTGTGAGTGTTGTGTTGAGGTTTCAAAACTCCAATTTAGAAGCAATGGCTGGATTTCAAGGGCTTTGTCAGAATTGATGCTTTTGAATTATGGTGCTGGAGGAGACTCTTGAGAGTCCCATGGACTGCAAGGAGATCAAACCGATCCATTCTGAAGGAAATCAGCCCTGAGTGCTCACTGGAAGGACAGATCGTGAAGCTGAGGCTCCAATACTTTGGCCACCTCATGAGAAGAGAAAACTCCCTGGAAAAGACCCTGATGTTGGGAAAGATGGAGGGCACAAGGAGAAGGGGACGACAGAGGACGAGATGGTTGGGCAGTGTTCTCGAAGCTACCAGCATGAGTTTGACCAAACTGCGGGAGGCAGTGGAAGAAAGGAGTGCCTGGCGTGCTCTGGTCCATGGGGTCACGGAGAGTCGGACACGACTAAATGACTAAACAACAAGAAGTAAGAAAGCCTTTTGGCTGGTGAAAGCCAGGCTTGTCCATCGTCTCTCGTCCCTCACTGTTTTGTTGAGCTTCCATTAATTTCGGCGGGGAAGGAATAGGGCAACTTCCTGGTAATGTTGTGCCCTTGACTCCTGTAATGGAACCAGATTTCTGGTGTGATGATAATATGATAATTATAATCGTATTACAATTATGGAGCAGCTTTTCAGCTGACTTCCAGAGAAAAGCCGAATGGCATCCCGTTCAAGATGACTCATCCGCTGGGGGAAGATGATCTAAAACAGTGTTTCCCAACCTTTTTTGGGCAAAGGCACACTTGTTTCATGAAAAAAATCTCGAGGCACACCACCATTAGAAAATGTTAAAAAATTTAACTCTGTGCCTATATTGACTACCATATTTTTCGCCCCATAGGACGCACCGCCCCATAAGACGCACCTAATTTTTTGGGGGGAGAATAAAGAAAAAAAATTTTTCCCCTCCCCAGGCACGGGGCAGGCGCGGGGGAAACCCAAGCTTCCCCCGACCCCAGCCCCCAGAACAGCCTGATATCCGCAAGCCTAGGGAGCCACACTGGTCTCCCCAGGCTTGCGGAGAGGTGCGTGAAGCCCGGGGGCGCTCTTCAGCGCGCACCAGGCTTCGGGATGCAGGCAGCTCTGCACTACCCTCCAGAGCCCCGTGCGGCTTCGCGCTGGGATCCGGGGGGTGGCGCGGAGCTGCAAGAAGCCCTGGAGCGCAGGCAGCTTCGCACCACCCTCCGCAGCCCCGCGCGGCTTCGCGCCGGGATGGGGGGGGGTGGCGCGGAGCTGCAAGAAGCCCTGGAGCGCGGGCAGCTCCGCGCCACCCTCCGCAGCCTCCTACGGAGGGCGCCCCGTGCTCCGCGCTGCTGGCTGCCGCCCGCAAGCCGTGCACGCGGGGGGGAGTTCCCCTGGGCGCGCAAGGCTTGCGGACAGCTGCGCGAAGAACGGGGCGTCCTCCAAAGGGCGCCCCACGCTCCGCGCTGCAGGCTGCCGCCGCAAGCCTTGCGCGCCGGGGGGGGAGTTCCCCCAGGCGCCCAAGGCTTGCGGACAGCTGCGCGAAGCACGGGGCGTCCTCCAAAGGGCGCCCCGCTCCGCGCTGCAGGCTGCCGCCCGCAAGCCTTGCGCGCCGGGGGGGGAGTTCCCCCAGGCGCCCAAGGCTTGCGGACAGCTGCGCGAAGCACGGGGCGTCCTCCAAAGGGCGCCCCGCGCTCCGCGCTGCAGGCTGCCGCCCGCAAGCCTTGCGCGCCAGGGGGGGAGTTCCCCCAGGCGCCCAAGGCTTGCGGACAGCTGCGCGAAGCACGGGGCGTCCTCCAAAGGGCGCCCCGCGCTCCGCGCTGCAGGCTGCCGCCCGCAAGCCTTGCGCGCCGGGGGGGGAGTTCCCCCAGGCGCCCAAGGCTTGCGGACAGCTGCGCGAAGCACGGGGCGTCCTCCAAAGGGCGCCCCGCGCTCCGCGCTGCAGGTTCCCGCCCCCCGCCCCGCTTCGGAGCACCGGGAGAAGCGATCTCCCCGCAGCCCCTTGCTTCAAAAGAGGTCCGGGGGCAGCGCGAAGCGCTTCCCGCTGTCCCCGGACCTCTTTTGAAGCAAGGGGCGGTGGGGAGAAGCGATCTCGGGCGCCGCGCCGCCCCGCCTCTCCCGCCTCCCTCCCACGGCACACCAGGCAAGGTCTCACGGCACACTGGTGTGCCGCGGAACACCGGTTGGGAAACACTGATCTAAAACATTCTGAGCTGCCATTAGGGCCCTAATTGCTTTGAGTGCCTTGGCAGGAAAGTGGTATATTTACAGACAGGCAATAAATCAATGAAGAGAGGATAGAAGTTGACAGTGAGCACTTGGAAACTAATGGCAGACAATAAAATAGGCTGCAGTGTCACTGGGAAAATGACTCACAATGAAAACATTTCAAGAAGGATCACACGATGTATGTGTTTCTATGCTAATTCTAGAAGATTGAGCCAAGTTGGGGGAAGCAGAGTGTCTGACATTTGCTTACAGGAAAAAATAAGGCTTCTCTGGGCTTATCAGAGAACACTAGCAGAACAAAAAGATGCTTATCTCTAGATTTAAAATCTATGAAAAGGGCAGAGTAAAGTTGTATTGGGTTGGGAGTTGCATTGATATATATGTCAAAGAAGGCACAGAGAGCCATAAATCAGAACTTGTACAAGAAACAGATTTAGCTGTAGAATCATTATGTGTAGAAGAATCAGGCCGAAACAGGAAAATAGTAATACTCCCCTAAACCAAGTTCTGGTGGTGATTTACAGACGTTTAAAAAAATCAGAGAAGCAGCTAAAGGAGATCTTACGAGAATGACTTCCACACTCATCAAATAAATGCAAATTTAGTTCGTGGTCAAGAGACACATTTGTGTGAGCAATACCCAGGATCTCGTGAAAGACCTCAAATCACTTGGGAACAATGACTTGAGTGCTCCCAGATTTAAAAGTTATGTGGATGGGAAATTGTTCAGAAAATTTCATACACTCAGTTAATTTCAAAAGAGGAAATTTTTCAGATCTGGAATCAAATCTGGATCTAGTCAAAAGAGAGCTAAGTCACAGATGCTATATTTAGCATAGTGTTCAAGGCAACTCGGGTAAAGCATATATTTAAATACAGTGGTACCTCGGGTTACATACACTTCAGGTTACATACGCTTCAGGTTACAAACTCCACTAACCCAGAAATAGTACCTCAGGTTAAGAACTTTGCTTCAGGATGAGAACGGAAATTGCGTGGCGGCAGCGGGAGTACATTAGCTAAAGTACTGCTTCAGGTTAAGAACAGTTTCAGGTTAAGAACGGACCTCCGGAACGAATTAAGTATGTAACCAGAGGTACCACTGTACATTAAAAAGACAGGAAACCAGCTGTGGCGTTTGCCCATTCATTTGAAAATGTCTGTACAGGGGAGAGAGAAAGGGTTAAAATTTAGACCAATAGGAAAGCCGGAGGCGGAGCCTACCTGTTTATAAAAGGGCTTAGCCCGAGGTTTGGGGGTGGTTAGTTGTTTGGTTTTAGTGGGTTGGTTGGTTGGTTGGGAAAGGCAGTTGGAAAAGCAGTTGGCAGGCAGTTGGAAATAGAGAGACAGTGGGTTCTTGTGTGAGGGGAGGTAGAAGAGAGACAGAATAAAATAAGACTAAGAAGGTAAAGAGTAATGTCTGGAATGTGGTTAAAGTTTGTTTGTGTCTGTAGTAAACTACACTGTTCTTTGTTAACGTGAGAACCTGACTGAGACTAAGTGATTTACTGGGGAAGACTTGGTTGGTGGCAGCGGATTAGTGGTGTACGACCAGGGGCTCCGTACGAACGCCACACCAGCAAATAAGAGAGTGGGACTTTTTGAAGAATAAGGTATGAAAGAAATACTAAAGGCAGATGTGGAAACTGAATACATGCAAAAAAATCTGTCTCAGTCTTCACTGCGGAAGATATTTGGGAGAGGCCAGCACCATTGCTTTTGAGGAGTTCACAAAAATAAGAGGTGTGATAAAGGATGATGTTTCAAACAAATTTAATGGACAAATTAAAGTAAAATAAATTCATGGTTTGGCTGGTGGTCTCCTGGGGTAGGTTTTTCATACCTTGGAAACCAAATTCCATGATTCTTGGTTATCCACTGGCTGGCTGGCTGGCTTACAGAAATTGCATGGGAATATTGAATGCCTTTGCAAGGTAACTATTAGAGCAGATTTCATTTCCGTGTAACTTTGACCGTCTAGAGCAGGGATGGGCAACAAGCATCTCTCTAGCTGTTGCAGGACTACAGCTTCCATCTCGGATTTTAACTATGCTGGCTTGGACTGATGGGAGTTGGAGTCAAACAACAACTGGAGGGCCATGATCTAGGGTTAGCTGTTCTGCAGGTGCACAGTTATGGTACTCCTTGTTCCCTGTTGCTATCTGCTTTCAGTGCTTGGTGGTCTTGAGTCAATTCAGAGGGCATGGGAAAATTATCTCTTTCCTTCTCTGACTCAGGGCAAAAGAAGCCTGACCACTTTCCACCATCATAATCCAAATGCACAAAGCCCAGATCACTCACCAGCCAATTTGCATTAAATGTGGAGTGCATTGGTGTAGGTGCTGTCTGATCATTTGTGGATTGATAGTTTTGTTTTCCAGGATGGTGGTTGATGCTTCATCAAGGACTCGTCCACAATTTGCTTGTCCCGTGCCTAGAAAGCATGGGTCTGAGCAGTTTTCCACTTTTCCTGTGCTTTCGAGGCACTTTCTAGCATTTTTCCTGCCGCTTTCCCTCGGAAAAGCTGCTCTTTACTGCTTAATCATAGCAAGCATCAATCCGCAGAAAACCCTGCTGATGTTTGCTCTGATTCAGCAGTAAAGAGCGGGTTTGTCCGGGGAAGAGCAATGGTACAAGCAGAAGTGTGGATGAGCCCCAATACAAGCTAATGACCAGTGATGGTCTCCTGATGGCCCAGAATTTCTCAAGTTATTAGAGAGAGACCCATCAGGAGACAAAACCCAGCAGTTTTAGAGAGAGTAAGAGCCGAGGGTTTATTTCTATAGTTGAAACGGGGGGGGGGGTATTCTGTTGGGGAGGGTGCTATTTTCTGGGGATTTGCTGCCTGTTTTTAGAAGTCATCATGCTTCCTATAAACTTATTTACAAATGCATTGCTTCCAGGCAGCCTGTTAATTGGGCATTCATCCTGATCTGTTTGCTAGGAAGTTGCTGTTGTATGAATTACCCGCCCTTCACCCTAAGATACCAGGGTGGGTTAGAACAATCAAAACACAGTATGAAAAACAGTTCAAAACAACTTACAATCACAGAAATAAGGTGGGTCCTAAAAATGCCCATCTCAAGGGTCAAGGGCCTGGGAAAAGAGGTGTGTCTTCAACATTCCCCGAAAGCTGTCTAATGAAGATGCCAGGTGCACCCCTGTGGGGACGGAGAGCCACAACTTAGGGGATTCCACAGAAAATTCCCTCTCCCAGGCCACCACCCCACAATCTTCTGAGCGTCGTGGAATAAACAAGAAGGCCCGCTCTGCTGATTTCAGCACCTGAGAGGGTCTGTAGGGATGAAGGTGGTCTTTCAGGATTCAGCTTACTGGCCCATGCCCAGCCCATCACCTCCAAGCAATGGTCTAACACCTCAACGGCCTCAGTCTGGTATATCTGAAGGAGCGTCTCCACCCCCATCATTCTACCCGGACGCTGAGGGCCTTCTGGCAGTTCCCTCACTGCGAGAAGCCAAGGTACAGGGAACCAGGCAGAGGGCCTTCTCAGTAGTGGCACCTGCCCTGTGGAACACCCTCCCACCAGATGTCAAAGAGAACAACTATCAGACTTTTAGAAGACATCTGAAGGCAGCCCTGTTTAGGGAAGCTTTTAATGTTTGATGCATTTCTGTATTTTAATATTTTGTTGGAAGCTTCCCAGAGTGCCTGGGGAAACCCAGCCAGATGGGTGGGGTATAAATAATAAATTGTTCTTGTTCTTGTTGTTGTTGCTGTTATCAACTGCCTCTCCTGATTCAGCTGAAGATTGAGAGATAGAACTAGGTGTTATCTGCAAATTGATGGCACTTTCAAATCTCCTGATAACAACACCCAGAGGCTTCATTTAGATGTTAAATAGCACAGGGGACAAGATGGAACTCTGTGGGGCATCACAGGGCAACTCCCATGGCACTGGACAGCAGGCTCCCATGACCACATTCTGGAAACATCCCAGGAGGTAAGAACAGAACCACTGAATCAAAGTAAAAGGTAAAGGACCCCTGGACGGTTAAGTCCAGTCAAAGGCAACCATGGTGTTGCGGCGCTCATCTCACTTTCAGGCCAAGGGAGCTGACATTTGTCCACAGGCAGCTTTCTGGGTTATGTGGCCAGAATGACTAAACCACTTCTGGTGGAATGGAACACTGTGATGGAAACCAGAGCACACGGAAACACCATTTACATTCCCACCGCAGCGGTTTATCTACTTGCACTGCCGTGCTTTTGAACTGTTAGGTTGGCAGGAGCTGGGACAGAGCAACGGGAGCTCACCCCGCCGTGGGGATTCAAACCGCCGACCTTCCAATTGGCAAGCCCAAGAGGCTCAGAGGTCTAGACCACAGCGCCACCCACATCCACCACTGAAGCACAGTGCTCCCAGCCACCACCTCCCTGGGCTGCTCTAGAAGGATACAGTGGTGCCTCGCAAGACAAAAAGAATCCGTTCCGCGATTCTCTTCGTCTAGTGGTTTTTTCGTCTTGCGAAGCAACCCTATTAGCGGCTAAGCGGATTAGCGCTATTAGCGGTTTAGCGGCTTAGCGGCTATTAAAGGATTAGCGGCTAAGATGCTAAAAGGCTATTAGCGGATTAGCGGCTTAGAAAAAGGGGGAAAAGGCGGCGGGGGGGGGGGGAACGCAAGACTAGCAAGACGTTTCGTCTTGCGAAGCAAGCCCATAGGGAAAATTGTCTTGCAAAGCAACTCAGAAACGGAAAACCCTTTCGTCTAGTGGGTTTTCCATCTTGCGAGGCATTCGTCTTGTGGGGCACCACTGTATTGTAGTTAGCAATATCGAAAGCAGCTGAAAGAGGGAGGAGAACAAACTGTGCCTGGTCAAAGCAACCAACCAAGGTGACGGGTGCATTTTCAGTGCCATGACCAGGCGTGAAGCCAGACTGGAATGGATCCAAGTCACCAGCTTCTTCCAAGCATGCCTGAAGTTGAACCACCACCACTTTGCCCCCCAAAGGGGATATTTGACTCTTGGTAGTTGTTCCACCACCTCCATCAAGGCAGATTGTATCTCCCCCTTCTCCAACAAAGCCTTAATCACTTCCTGGACCCGCCCAGTCAGCCCCCTATGGCTAGCTCTAAGAAGCCAAAAATGGACAAGGGTCAAGGAGCCGGGTGGCCAGCTATACTTCAAGCAGCTTGCCCTCCGCAACCTCAGGTTGCAATAATCTAAATTGATCCAGTATAGATTGAACAAACCATGCTCTAAACACCACCACTGGACTTGCTCTAGCTGTGGCATCGAGCGATTTTGTCCCTAAAGCGCCTTGCAGAGTTGTCACAGCATGCTTCTGAGGGTGCCAGAGCGATGCCACAATGGCCACCTTTAGTCGGGTTCAGACTGAATCTTATGCCACCTGCTCTCTTATGCCAAACCTCCTGTTTCATCGCACCCTTGACTTTCCAGGCGGAAAGATGGCTCTTGTTACAAAATGCATTGGCAGGATGGATTTTGTAAAAGCAACCTTCTCCAGCCTGGAGTTCCAGGAGTTGTTAGGTTTCCGGCTACCACCAGTCTCCAGCTAGCATGGTCCATGGTTGGGAAGAAGGTGGGGTCTAGTCCAACAACAACTGGAAGTCACCAGGCTTGGGGAGGCTGGTGTAAAGCACCAGGAGGGATGGTTTACTCTGAACTTGCTCCACAAGATAATCAGCTTGGATAGCTCTGTTGGTTAGAGTGTGATGATGCCAAAGTTGCAGGTTCAATCCCTGTATGGGACAGCTGCATATTCCTGCATCGTAGGGGGCTGGACTTGAGGGTCCTTTCCAACTTTACAAGTCTTTGATTCCCCTAAGTACCTGTAAAGCTAACTTCACACCTCTTTTTCTTCAGCAGCATTGACTCATAAAAGTCTAGCTCTTTGCACTAGTCCTACACTACTAGCACAAGGTAGATGGCTGGAGCCAACACAGGGGTCTGTTGTGTCTGCTTCTGTGCCCCAAGTACAGATCAGAATGCATGTTAGCTGCTGACCCTTCTGTTGAGGCAGGACTGAGCACGGCCGTAGGATCTGTCTGTGCCAAAAGAATTCTGTGGATCAGGCTGCCCATGCGTAGCACAGCAGATCAGATATCGGGAGGCTATGGAGAGAGACTGTGTGTTTGAATGTATACCCTGCAACCTCTTGGGTCCCCAAACCGGGATGTGCGTCTGTGATCTGTGCGAGATGATGGAGTCAAAAAGACATGCTTTTTGGGGGAGGGGTGCATGCTTGCGCATTTTGGAGCAATGCACAGGGTTGCGTAATTGCATCTGTGGGATGTAAACACAGGAGCAGTCAATGACAACATTCCTAGAGTGTACATGTTAGAACATGGTGGGGATGTCTGTCCAGCAAGCAGGTAAACTTCCTGGGGACGGACTTCCTCCACATGTGACTAGAGGTGGGTGTGGCCTCACCTGTGCAGGTGATGACAAAAAGCACAGGGCAGGCAGCCATCTCTCTCTCTCTGCCATTTTCCTTCGACGAGGAAACACCTAAGGATGCCCTCTTGGCTCCCAGCCAAGAGAGGAGATAAGACCTATCTTGCTATGAGATAGATTCTAAATCTATGTAACCTTTTTAAGCCTGTCTGCCGTCTGGGATCACATTGTGAACAGGACGTGAGTAAACTCTTTTATACTTTTATGAAGACTGTGTCGTGTCTTGTATTTTAAGAGGGAACTAAAGGGGAAATTACCAGGGTAATTATTATAGAGGTTCTAGCGAACCTGTGCACACGTTACCGTTGCGTACTAAAGGGGAATGTATGTAAACTCTGCTGATATTTTGGGAACTTGTTAGCACAAGTTGGATCAGGATATAATTAGTCAATATATCCTTTCCTGCACCCCAGAACATTCCCACAAAGGGTTAGTGGCCCCAGTATTGCATATTTCTGCGTATTTTTGAAGGATTGCATTGGATTGTGATTTTGAGTTGAGTAGTATTTTTCTGAGTTAACTTCCTGGTAAGCACATGGTCCTTTGTTCCATTGTGCAGTGGGGATTAAGCAACCCACCCCCTTCCCTCAGAGTTCACAGTGACCCAAGGCAGTGAAGAATTGTTTTGCATTTTGAGATTTTTGAGATTTTTGATTTTAAAATTTTGAGAAATTTTGAAATTTTGAAGAATTTTCAAATTTTGGATTTTAAGATGGCTAGAGCAGCTTTTGATAGTGATGCAAAGCTAGGAATGCCTGTGCTGAATGAGTACAATTTCATGCACTGGAAGCAGCGCTTGATAGCATGTTTGGATTATAAGCACATTTTGGAAGCTTTAGAGCCTCAGCCTACAGGATCGTCTGAGGGAGATTTAGCCAAGATAAGTGCTTGGAAACGCATGAACAGCGAAGCCAGACACATAATTTTGAGTGGACTTCGTGATGAGCAGCTATCATTAATAAATAGCACAGATGATGCATCTCAAATCTTAAGAGATATTGAGCGCGTGTATGGAGAATCTAGCATAAACAGCTTCAGAAACTTGGTGTGTAAATTAACCAGATTGAGGATGAATTCAAAAGAGGAATTCACAGAGCACATCAACAAGTTTACTGAGATTATTCAAAGAATTGATCTGACTCCCAAAGCTTTTGATGAGGATACAAAAGCATTTTTGTTATCATCACTTGGACCACGCTTTGGTGCATTTGTAAGTTTGATGGAGCATAGACAAGGTCTGACATTTAAAGACTTGATTGGTTATTTAAAAGAAGAATGCAGAGATAGAGGTGAATCTCCAGTGAGAAATGCTAGAAGCAAGGACAGCAGTTATGCATCTAGGCGATGTACAAAGTCCAAAGAGATGCCTAAGAAAGTGATTTGCTTCAATTGTAACAAAGAAGGACACATTGCAAAGAATTGCAGGGCTCCTAAAGCAAAGAAACCCCACCCCTTTCAGCCAAAAGGGGAAAAGAAGGGGAAATGTGAATGCACATGGTTACTGCAAGAAAGGAACTTAGCTGTCCAGAATCGTGAAAATAAACGTAACAAATGGATTTTAGATTCAGGAGCAAGTTCGCATTTTTCATATAAAAGGGACTATTTTAATGAGATTAATGAGATAAATGATGAAGAAGGATCTGAAATTGAGATTGCAGATGGCAACATTGTTAAAGCAAAAGGTGCAGGTTCCATGAGCCTGAAATGCAATATAAACAATGAA